CCTAGACCCTTCATCAGAAAAGCTTTTCTGATGAAGGGTCTAGGCCCAAAACGTCAGCCTTCCTGCTCCTATGATGCTGCTTGGCCTGCTGTGTTCATCCAGCTCTGCACCTTGTTGTCTCGGACTCTCCAGCATCTGCAGTTCCTACTATCTCTGACTCCTTGCTGGGTAGAAACTGGTCTGCAGGAGGGGGAGTGATCAAAGGTCGTCATTTCTGAACCAGTGTGGAGGTGGGGTTGGGTGTGGTCGAGGAAGAAGATTAGTTTGGTGAGTTGGGAAAAAGCATTGTTCAAAAAATGTATTCATTCATGGGGTGTGGGCATTGGTGGCTTTGACAGTAATTGTTGCACTTCTCTAATTGACCTTGAGAAGGTGACTTCTGGAACTGGCTGCAGCCCTGGACTGCTGGACACACACGCACTGTGCTGTTAAGATGGGAGTTCCAGGATTTGGCTCAGTGACAGTGAAGGAATATTGATATAATTTCAAGATACGATGGTGTGCAGCTTGGATGAGAACTTGCTGATGGTAATGTTCCCATGCAAAGCTGCCCTTGGAGTCCTTTTAGTTGGTAAAGGTCATAGGTTTGGAAGGTGCTAAAGAGCTGATGCTTGAGTGTTGGAGATACAACTATCTAGCCAAGGGTAGACTATTCCTGACTGGTGTCTCGTAGATGGTGAACAGGCATTGGAAAAACAGACAAGGCATGCTGTAATGTTGTTTATCTCTTCTATGAAGCAGTCTTCAACTATGTACAGCTGCTGGCTTTCACAAGGCCTCGGAAACTGCTTGTGTCAAACCTGGGAGACAGGCTACATAAGGCACCTACTTATAATATTCATCCTCTGCTGAGAGAGAGCTGGAGATGGCCAAGTGTTGGATCTGAACTAGTTAAAACTTTTACATCCCACCCCTCTTCGACTGACTTGATTTCGGATTAAGATCTCTCCCATTGCATGCAATTCAATTTATGAAGAAATATGTTGAGGCTTTGAGAGCAAAGAAGCTGTGACTACTACAACAGAGAGGAAGGTTAAGGAGAAGTTTAATAGTTGCTGAGAGTGGGCAAGAGGTTTGGCAAGGGATAAGGGAAACTGCTTCCAAGAGGATTGGTATATCAGGAGAGTTAGATTCAAGGTAACTGGGAAAACAACCAGAGGGGAGGTAAGAGTCTATTTATGCAATAAGTTAGATCATAATGCTGTGTCTGAAAGGATATTGGAAGGAAAAGGGAATTAGGCAGAAGAGCACCAGGGATAGAGCAGGGATGATGGGACTAAATGAACAGAGCTTTCAAAGAGCCAGTACATGCACAGCGGTCCAAATGGCCCCTTTAGGGCTGTTAAGATTCTACAATCAACCCTGCATAAATGTATGTTGTCTTTGAAAGGGAAGCAAGTCTAACTTCATATTGGCAATGAGCCATAAAGGATAATAAGCAGGGTGATGGGGAATATCTTCACATCCTCTAGAAATTCCAGGACGTCTCAAGCTGTTCTTAAATCTCCTTCCAACTGAAGGCTGATCAGTGCTGGCTCTTTAGTGAACCGGAAGCCAGGGAAATAAGGGGTTGAATTTCTTGTAGTTGAGGGTAGCCAAGTATGTCAGCTTGCTATAAATGTCTCTAATTGTTTGTATCTGAATACATCTGCCAGGTCACTGGATTAGAAACATGGTTAGACCACACTTGGAAGACTGTGATATCAAAAGCCTGGAGAGGATGCAATAAAGATTTACAAAGCTGATATAGGATTATATAAATCAGGAAAGGATGAACAGGATAGGTCCCTGCTCCATTGAGAAAAGAACATGGAAGGTTGAAAATACAGATCTTTAAAATTTGGAAGGCTGCGATAAGGTATGCATAGTGCTTTTGCTTGTTGAGAAAAGCAAAACTGGAGATCATTGATGTAAGATAGTCATTGAGAAGTCATTTAGGAACCTCAGAAGAACACTTTTTACCCAGACAGCACTGAGAATTCACAACTATGGTGTGTTGTTGAGACGAATAATACAGATCCATTTAAAGGGAAGCTGGATAAACACGTGTGAGAGAAAGAATACTGAGTTCTGTTGACAGGAGCTAGATGAAGAAGGATCAGAGGAGGCTTTGGAGCATAAAGACTAGCAAAACCTCACTTTTAAAATTTTCATCCTTGTGTGAAATCCCTCCGTGGCCTCTTGCTCACCTCCCTCTAACTTCTGGAACCTATTTGAGCCCCAGAATGTCCCTAGATATGTGTGCCTCTAATTTTAGACTTTTGAACAAACCCAATTTTAATAGCTCCACAATTGATGTCTGTGCTAATGCCCTAAGTTTTGGAATTTTCTCCCCAAATCTCTCCAACTCTCTGCTTCTTTTAAATTGCTCCTTAACACCCACCTCTTTGATCATACTTCTGGTCATCTCGGCTAATGTGTCCTCGCATGAATGAGTATCCAATTTTAGCTCGTAACACACCTCTGAAATAACCCAAACGCAGGTTCACTGTTTCCTGAAGGTGGAGTCACAGGTAGACAGGGTAGTGAAGAAGGCGTTTGACCAATAAAGGCAAGTGTACCAGTGGTTTGAGTATAGGAGTTGGAAGGTCATATTGTGCTGTACAGGACATTGGTTAGACTGCGTTCAATTCTGGTCTCCCTGCTCTGGGAAAGATGTTGTTAAACTTGAAAAGGTGCAGAAAGGATTTACAAGGATGTTGCCAGGATTGGAGGCTTTGAGCTATAGGAAGAGGCTTAATAGGCAGGGGTTATCTTCCCTGGAGCATCGGAGGCTGAGGGGTGACCTTAGAGACATTTATAAAATCGTGAGGGGCATGGGCAGGGTGAATAGCCAAGGTCTTTTCCCCAGGGTGGGGGAGTCCAAAACTAGGGGGCATAGGTTTAAGGTGAGAGGGGAAAGATTTAAAGGGGATTTATGGAGCAACTTTTTCACGCAGAGGGTGGTGCATGTACAGATTGAGCTGCCAGGAAAGGTGGTGGAGGCTGGTACCATTATAACACTTAAAAGGCATCTGGATGGGTATATGAATAGGGAAGGTTTTGGAGGGATATGGGCCAAATGCTAGCAAAGGGAACTAGATTAATTCAGGATATGTGGTCAGCATGGACAATTTGGACCGAAGGGTCTATTTCCATGCAGTATGACTCTAAATGTTTACAAGAATACAAGTGATTCTTGTTGAGTGGCACACTTCAGTGCTCTATATTCAGTATAATTCTGTGACAATTCAGAGGATTCAGAGAGATAGATCACTGGTGACTGAAAGCTGTCCAACATTTCAGATTTGCTATGCACTAATGCTTCCGCAGCTGCTGATGGAGTGTCCAAATGAACTTAACTCGTTCCCACATAAGCTTGCTCTTCATGTCAAATAATTGCGTTTATATGAAATCAATACAATATTCCAAATTGTAACACTAGCCCTGCATCTCCTCTGAGATCAGTTCAGGGAGAGAAATGGGATCTGTCCCAGTCTTTGTCTATTGGCTTAAGAATACTAAAAAAAAAGCAAAAAGTTGGTCATTCTAGCCTCCAGCATTCAATGGGATCGTAATCACAGAGCTGTACAGTGCGGAAACAGGCCCTTTGGTCCAACACATATCCTAAATTAATCTAGTCCCATTTGCCAGCATTTGGCCCAGATCCCTCTAAACCCTTCCTATTCATATACCCATCCAGATGCCTTTTAAATGTTGTAACTCTACCAGCCTCCACCATTTCCTCTGGCAGCTCATTCCATACACACACCACCCTCTGGCTGAAACATTGCCCCTTATGCCCCTTTTAAATCTTTCCCCGTTCACCTTAAACCTATGCCCTCTAATTTTAGATTCCCATACCCTGGGAAAAAGACCTTGGCTATTCACCCTATCCATGCCCCTTGTGATTTTATAAACATTCATGAGGTCACCCCTCAGCCTCTGATGCTTCAGGGAAAATAGCCCCAGTCTATTCAGCCTCGCCCTCCAGCTCGAAGCCTCCAACCCGGGCAAAATCCTTGTAAATCTTTTCATGATGTTTCTGGTTTGAGGACAGTTGAAAAATGGAGGAATCATCTTGAGAATCCAATTCAGGGTTGGTTGCTGGGGTCCTCCAGAGTTAATCAACAGATCCTGTCTGCTTAGTAGCACCTGCATTCTCCACCCTGCTCACCTCTTCTGAATTAGCTTTGACCTGAAATAGAGGGGAAGAGGTAGATGATTCACAGAGCACAATGTTGCATCGGCACAAATATTTGAACATGTGGCAGATCTCAGCTGAGTCCTATCCCATCCTTGTTCAATGTCCACATAGGAGTCGCAGTGTTTAGGAGTAGGTAATCCATCTTATGTCAAGAGTGAACAGCTCCACCACCCTTTCCTCCAGCAATGATCTACGGATCAATGGCCGGTCCTCTGCTTCAACACCATTTTACTGGCACTGTCACTACATCCCTTGATGTTTTTAATATCTAGAAATTGATGGATCTCAGACTTGAACATACTCAATGGCTGAGCCTTGACAGCCATCTGGGGCAGAGCATTGCAAAGATTCACCACTGAAGATTTAACTTACATTGTTTTAATTTTACTTTAAAAGGTAAATTTAAGAATATCACTAATAATAAAAGGAAATGTTAGGGTTTTTTTTAGAAAAAGAAACATATATGCTATCTGTCCTCCTCTAATTCTGGCCTCTTGAACATACCCTATTTTAATTACCCAGCTACTGGTGACTGCATTTTCAGATGTGCGGACCCTAAACCCCTCTCTTACTCTCTCACTTGCTGTCTCTCTTTCTCTCTCCTTTTTAAAGGTGCTCCTGTAAAACTTATCTCTTTCCAAAAGCATTTGGCCACCTGTATTAATATCTCCTCTTGTGGCTTGGTGTTTGATCACACTCCCATGAAATACTTACAGCTGCTGAGGGCTCTGTATTAGTGGAAGCTGTTGTTCTTAAGATATGTGTTTGACCAGAAACATTGCGGGAAGCACGTTCCCTTAGTATGGTGAGGGACCAGGGCTATCTGCAACTGTAGCTTAGCAACAGACAAATGTCCCTCTCAACCCTTGCTCAAAAATAATCCAGAAGTTGTTTTATGAAACATGTCAGACAAGATCTCACTGAATGGTAGGACATACTTGAAGATAACCGGCCTACCTCCATTCCTGCGTAATTGCAAGATACGCAGGTACAATCTAGGATCTTTGGGATTCCAGCGAGGAGTCTGGCAATACAGATTCTAATGCAGAGTTTCACAGGATGTCAGGAGGTGATGGGGTCAGGCTGTGATAAAGGACCTCACTGGACTGTAGTATGATTCAGGGTCACCAGACATTAGCCCACAAGCAACAAATCTATGTTCTGCATTCCCACTACATCCAGTTGGGAATGGTGACTGACAATTAAACCACTCACTGGAGGAGAAATCTCCATAGACATATCTGTTGTCAATAATGAGACACTTAGTACAAGAGTGCAAAAAATGTTATAGGCCAGGCCAGACCCTTTCAAAATATTTTAAGAAGGTAGGCTAGACCCTAACTGTTTCTTAATTTAAAAGTAGATGTGAAGTGTGTGTTCCAGATGTGACTGGTTGAATGACTTGATGTTAAGCAAAACACAACTTATTTAAACACTATAGTTAAAATACAAATAAAAGAAAGAGGAGTTTAGATAATTTAACTATTGGAAAACTTAACTGAATAACAGATACAATACCTATTCCTAGCCACTTCGGCACCTCTACCTTTACAACCTCTCTTTAAAAAAACCCAGGACAAAATAACCTTTTTCAAGTGACAGGCATTGTCACAAAGACAAGGCTGAAGTATTTGCAATGATCTTGAGTCAGAAATGTTGAGTGGATGATTCATCTCGGCCTCCTCCAGAGGTCCCCAGCATCACAGGTGTCAGCCTTCAGCCAATTTGATTCACTCCATGTACGATCAATAAATAATTAGAGGTACTGGATGCTGTAAAGGCTGCTGGGTACTGACAACATGTCAGTAATTGTACTGCACACTTGCACTCCAGAACTTACTGTGCCACTAGACAAACTGTTCCAACACTGATATTTACTTAACAATGTGAAACTTGTTCAGGTATGTCCTGTGCACAAAAAGCAAGACAGATCCAACCTGACCAATTACTACCTCATCTGTCTGCTTTTGATCAGCAATAAAGTGATGGAAGGTGTCACCAATAGTGCTATCAAGCTTCACAACAGCCCAGTCACTGACGCTCAGCTTGGGTTCTGCCAGGGCCACTCATTCCTGACCTCATTATGGTTCAAACATAGACAAAAAGGCTGAATTCTAAAGGTGAGGTGAGAGTGACTGACATCAAAACCACATTTGACTGAGAGTAGCATTAAAGAACCCTTGATAAACCCAAGGCAAATGAATTAAGGGGGGATTTCTATTTGGAGTCATACCTGACACAAAGGAAGATGGTTGTGGTTGCTGGAGGTCAGTCATCTCAGCTCCAGGACATCTCTGCAGGAGTTCCTCAGGGTAGTGCCCTCGGCCCAACCATCTTCAGCTGCTTCATTACTGACTTTCGCTCCATTATAAGGTCAGAACTAGGGCTGTTCACTGATTACTGCACAATGTTCAGCACCATTTGTGACTCTCCTGACACTGAAGATATCTGTGTCCAAATACAGCAAGAGGTGGACAATAAATGTTCAGCTGAGAAGTGGTAAGCAACACTCATGGTACACAAGTGTCAGGCAATGGTCATCTCGATAAGAGGAAATCTAACCATTACCCATTGACATTAAATAGTATTACCATCACTCAATGCCACACTATCAATATTCTAGAGGGTTAACATTGATCAGAAACTGAACTGAATGAGCCATTTAAATACTACGGCTACAAGGGAAATCAGATGCTTGGCCTCATCTGCTAACTCCCCAGGTAATGTCCACCATCTCCAAGACCAAAGTCAGGAACGTGATAGAATACTCTCTACTTACCTGGCTGAGCGTAGGTGCAACAACAGCACCATATCCACAAATATCAACTCTCTCCACCACTAACATTCAGTAGCAATAGCGGACGATGCAACGTAGAAATTTATCAAGTCTCCTTAGCCTTCATCCTCCAAAGCTACAGCCACTACCCATTTAGAGGGATACACAGGAACACCACCACTTGCAAGGTCCCCTCCAATCCACTAACCAGCTTATCTTGGAAAAATATTGCTGTTCCTTCAGTGTTGCTGGATCAAAATCCAGGAACACTCTCCCTAACAGCATTGTGGGTCTAACTACAGCAAATGGATCACCGTGGTTCAAGAAGGCAGCTCATCCACTACTTTCTCAAGGGCACTTGGGACGGACAATAAATGCTGGCCCAGACAGCGGCACATTCCATGAGTCAACAAAACGCAATTTGGAGCCAAAAGATGTAGGATAGTGAGGTTTTGATGTTAAACCTGCTGGAACATCAGACGGTGACTGATTCTTGAGGGAAAATCCAGGATATTTTGAATGATGAATTCTGCATATAATATCTAAACATTTAATTTTACTATCCTCCAAAGGACTGCATTAGGCCACAGTGATGTTGTGGTTATGTTATTGGATGAGTGATCCAGAGATTTGGATTTACAATCCAGAGAATGAGAATTCAATTCCCAACGCGAAGACTGAATTCCAATCTGGACATAGAAAGCTGGTATCTGTAGAAGTGATCACAAAGAGTGGGATTGACATAAAAACCCATCATGCCCTTGGCAGAAGGAACTCTGTTGTCCCTGCATGGTGCAACCTATGGTAGACTCCAGTCTTACACCAACATGGTTCCTTCATAATCCCTGCCCTCTGAAATGGCCTAGTAAACCATCTAGTTGCAAACAGGATGTGTAATAAATCCCAGCCTTGCCAGTGATGCCCACTTACAGAGAAAGAGCAAAGTTTGCCATCTGTTTAGCTTTGAACTGCAAAGTCCAACTTTCCAACTGTACACAACTTTTGTCTTTATTATCCGTAGGGATTACCATTATTAGTGGTTTGTGAGGTTTGTGTGTGAGGTGTTTGCTTGCTTGATGGGTTCAACACTGAATTGCCAGAGATGATGTACAAGAGTATTTCTTACCTTTCTTTATGGATGTATGAAATTGAGCTAGAGTTATAAAGCTATTGGGAAACGAGAAAGTCGAAGAAGTGGATTGATCAGAAAAATGTATGAATTCTGTTACTTTTTCAGATCCCAGGCATACAATGCCCGTGAAATTAACTTGGAGTTATCAGAAGAGGACGGAACGCTGATCGAGTGGATCCATATAGATCCTGAAGATTTCACTGGTACTGTTAAATAACACTGCTAGATTTTTAAGTTTTAGTCCTTGGGATGCTAGCTGTAATTAGGGTTACCTGTTCACCTGGCCTCAATATATTACTTGAGTTCTGAGGAAGGGTCACCAGACCCGAAACATTAACTCTGTTTTCTCCTTCACAGATGCTGCCAGACCTGCTGAGCTTTTCCAGCAACTTTGTTTTTGTGTCTCAAATATTACTTATTTATTTTGAGGTGGAGGTGCTGGTGTTGCGCTGGGGTGGATAAAGTCAGAAGTCACACGATACCAGGTTATAGTCCAACAGGTTTATTTGAAATCACAAGCTTTTGGAGCATCGCTCCTTCATCATGTGAAGTAGGAGGAGAGCTCTGAAAGCTTGTGATTTCAAATAAACCTATTGGATTATAACCTGGCGTCGTGTCTCTTCTGCATTTATTTTGAGGAATTGCAGAGTCTGACCCTGGAGGCCCTGTGATGATCCTTACATCATCCTAGTTCTCACCTTTTCTTCCTGTCCATGATCTGTCCTGATATGCTGACCCTTACCAAATTGTGGTCCTTTGCTGTACTTGATTGAATCAGATTACTTCTTCATTCGTTTCACAACCTCCTGTCCTATTGATATAATTCACTTCCAGGTATCCAATGTTTGTTATTTAATTCACTCTTAGGTGTAAATTAATGTTTGCATAATTCTTTCCGAGGTTTCCATCATTCTCTGTGTACCTCAATATCAGATACTCAACTTGTTTGTGGAACTCAATCCCAGGTATCTATTTCCTTTTGACAGAAAACGGAGAGTGGACGATAAAACACAAACCAGCAAAGAGGCACATTAACAGTCAGTTCTCAATGGACGATATTGAGTACCAGGAGATTATTTTCTTCTTGATCATCCAGAGGAAACCACTGTTCTATGTCATTAACATCATTATTCCCTGTGTCCTCATTTCATCACTGGTAGTCCTGGTCTACTTCCTACCAGCGCAAGGTAAGGAGCAAAGATGTCTACATGGACATACAAAGTTGATGGGCAGGAAAGGAGTGGCTACAGATTGACACCTTACAAGTGACCACCATCTCCAAGCCAAAAGTCAGGAATGTGATAGAATACTCTGTACTTACCTGGCTGAGCGTAGGTGCAACAACAGCACCATATCCACAAATATCAACTCTCTCCACCACTAGCTCAGTGTGGGTTTCAGGGAAGATTTCAGGATCAGGTTTCAAATGTGATGCCATCCCAGGAGAATAGCCAAATAAAGCCTCTCCCAGACCACCTTTCTTCATTTGGACAGGGGCTGATTTTTCTGGTGGATGCTCTATTCCATCGTGAAACAGTGCCTTCCAGGGAGATTGGAACCCTTACCCAACAAAATCTGTTGATTCTAACTGTCCAGAAGCATTGACAGCCTTTAGTGTTTGCGGATATTCCAGTTGTGTAAGTTCAAATGGTTCCACAGCCTTTGTGTTTGCATATATGTTTGGAGAGGGAGGGGAGTTTCTATTGGTGCGAGGGATGGTGGTGATGGTCTGAACTCCAGCATTTCACCTATTTCCTTTGTTGCCCATCCAAATCTAGCTCTTGCATCTGTGCAGGAAGAGTTACAAAGCGCAATATGGAACAACCAATAAATGCTCTTTCCACCATCCGAACTGGCAAAAGATGCTCTATAGTGCAAGAACATACAAGTTCCTAGTGACAGTTCATTCTCGCTGGGAACTTAGAGCTCTGGTGTGAAAGCCAATGAGCTGCCGAAATTAAAGTGACCAGCTTCAAACTGAACAAACCAGTTTCCAAGATGAGCACTTGACAACTTTCAGGAATGAAAGCTTCAACAATCTTGGAAATGGGGTTATACTCATGCATGTCAAAAATCCTTATTACACGGTGGCTCAGTGGTTAGCACTGCTGCCTCACAGCACCAGCAACCCAGGTTCTATTCCACCCTCGGGCAACTGTCTGTGTGGAGTTTGCACATTCTCCCCATCTCTGAGATAGTAGGAACTGCAGATGCTGGAGAATCCGAGACAACAAGGTGCAGGGCTGGATGAACACAGCAGGCCAAGCAGCATCATAGGAGCAGAGAGGCTTATTTCCTCCGGGTGCTCCAGTTTCCACCCACAGTCCAAAGATGTGCAGGTAGTTGGATTGGCCATGCTAAATTGCCCATAGAGTCCAGGGATATGTAGGTTAGGTGGATCAGTCATGGGAACAGCAGGATTAGAGGGAATAAGGTTGCATGGTAGGAATGGGTCTGTGTGGGATGCTTTTTGGAGGGTCAGTGTGGACTTAATAGGCCGAATGGCCTGCTTCTGCATTGTAGGGATTCCATGAAATAAATGAACTCCACTTCTTGCAACACTCCTCATGAATAAATTTAGGAGATTCAAGGTGGAGTGCAACAGTTCATTTAACAAAGGGTGTTGTGGGGATATAGAATTCACAGTGAAGTTTAGTAAATGAATCGAGGCCATGTCGACATTTAATATTTTCTTAGATAAGTTGCTGAAGAAAGGATAATGGAACATGGAGACAGATTATGGGTACATGCGTGAAATCCCGGTGAAAAATAAGTGAAATGTATTGTATCTAATTACATTTTCGTTTTATTTTATTTCTATACAGCTGGCTGTCAAAAATGTACACTTTCCATCTCTGTGCTGCTGGCCCAGACTGTCTTTCTGTTTTTGATTGCACAGAAGATTCCAGAAACATCATTAAATGTTCCACTCATTGGAAAGTAAGTGATGTAGGTCTAATTTTTCAGTTAGTAAGTTGTTAACAGTTGGATTCCTCAACACTTCCTCCCTAGAAGTCCCAATGGACGTGGTCTGGTGTAGTACAAAGAACAAAAAAACAATATAGCACAGGAACAGGACCTTCGGCCCTTGAAGCCTGTCCCAACTCATTTTGCCCTTCCATATTAAAACTGTCTTGACTTACAGGATCCGTATCCCTCTATTCCCTTCCTATTCATGTGTTCGTCCAGGTGCTTCCTGAACGCTGCTATTGTGTCTGCTTCCACCACCTCCTCTGGCAGCACATTACAGGCACTCACCACTGTTTGTGTAAAAAACTTGCCTCACACATCTCTTTTAAACTTCAGCCCCCACACCCCTGCACCTTGAACTTGTGTCCACTAAAAATTGACCCCTCCACCCTGGGGGAAAAGCCTCATATTTTCCACGCTATCCATGCCATTCACAATCTTATAACCTGCCCTGTAACCTCCTGCGTCCCAGTGGAAACAAACCCAGTCTATCCAACCTTTCTTCATAGCTAAAATCCCCCATACCAGGCAATATCCTGGTAAACCTTTTCTGTACCTTCTCCAAAGCATCCACATCCTTCTGGTAATGTGGTGACCAGAACTGTACACAATATTCCAAGTGTGGCCTAACTAAACTTCTGTAAAGCTGTAACATAACTTATCTACCCTTTTACTCAATGCCCCTTCCAATGAAGGCAACCAAGCCATAGACCTTTTTTATTACCTTATCTACCTGCGCTGTCACCTTCAGTGATCTGTGGACCTGCACACCCAGATCCCTCTGCATATCAATACTCCTAAGGGTTCTGCCATTTACTGTATAATTTCCATATGTACTTGACCTTCCGAAATGTATCACCTCACATATGTCCACATTAAACTCCATCTACCATTTTTCTGCCCATTGCCTCCAACTGATCTATATCCTGCTGTATCCTCTGACAATCCTCCTCACTATCCGCAACTCCATCAATCTTTTTATTGTCTGCAACCTTACTAATTTGACCAGCTACATTTTCCTCCAAATAATTTATATAGAGCACAAACAGCAAAGGTCCCAGCACTGATCCCTGTAGAACACTGCTATTCACAACCCTCCATTCTGAAAAAGCATCCTTTCACCGCTACTCTCTGTCTCCTATGACTAAGCCAGTTCTGTATCCATCTTGCCAGCTCACCCTTGATACCATGTGACTTCACCTTGTGTATCCGCCCGCCATGAGGGACCTTGTCAAAGGCTTTACCAGAGTCCATATAGACAACATTAACCGTTCTTCCCTCATCAATCATCTTCACCACCCCCTTAAAAAACTCAGCCAAGTTAGTGAGGCACAACCTCCATGCTGTCTATCGCTAATAAGTCTACTTGCTTCTGAATGCATATAGATCTTGTCCCTGAGAAATGTTTCCAATAATTCCCCTACCACTGACATGAACCTTAGTGAACTGAAATTTCCAGGATTATCCCTGTTACCCATCTTAAACATTGGGACAACATTGGCTATTCTCCAGTCCTCTGGGACCTCACCTGCAGCCCAAGAGGATATAAAGATGTCTGTGAATGCTCCAGCAATTTGTTCTCTTCCCTCCCTCAATATTCTGGGATAGATCCCATCAGGACTTGGGGACTCAACTACCTTAATAGTTTTTAAGACGCACAACATCTCTTCCTTTTCAATGGCAACTTGGTTTAGAAATTTGACACTCCCTTCTCTGAGATCGCCCTCCATCAATTCCTTCTCTTTGGTGAATACTGACACAAAGTATTCGTTTAGGACGTCACCTACCTCTTCTGGCTCCACACATACATTCCCTCCTTTGTCCTCGAGTGGGCCAACCCTTTCCCTGGCTACCCTCTTGCTTTTTATGTAAGTATAAAAAGCCTCGGGATTCTCCTTAATCCTATTTGCTAATGACTTTTCACGACCTCTTTACCGCCCTTCTAATTCCTTGTTTAAGTTCTTTCCTACTTTCCTTATATACTTAAGGGTTTCGTCAGTTCCCATCTCCTAGACCTTTCGTATGCTTCCTTTTTTTTGACCAAGGTCATAACATCCCTGGTCATCCAAGTTTGACGTAACTTGCCATACCTATCCTTCATACTCGCAGGAATGTGCCGCTCCTGAACTCTTATCAACTGCCGTTTGAAATACTCCCATGTGTCAAATGTAGATTTACCCTCAAACAGCCACCTCCAACCAACATTCTCCAGTTCTGCCAAATTCTGCCCCATCCAAGCCCCTAGCATGTAGTGAGTCCCAGTCAATATCGGGGAAGTTAAAATTACCCAATACAACAACCATGCGCTTTTTACATTTTCCAAAATCTGTCTACATATTCTCTCCTTTGTCTCCCGCTGGCTGTTGGGAGGCCTGTAGTATATGCCCAGTATTGTGATTTCACCTTTCCTATTCCTCAGTTCTACCTATATTGCCTCGCTGCATGAGTCCTCTGATATACCCTCCCTCAGTACAGCTGTGAGATACTCCTTTACCAATAATGCAACTCCCCCACCCCTTTTACATCCCTTTCCATCACACCTGAAACATCTAAAGCCTGGGACATTAAGCTGCCAGTCCTATCCCTCTTTTAGCCATGTCTCTGTAATTGCAATAATAGATCCAAGTACTAACCAAAGCTCTAAGTTCATCTCCCTTGCCTATTATACTTCTCACAGTAAAACTCATGCATTTCAGATCACCTCCCCCACTCTTCTCAGCAGCATTTCTCTGCCTGTTCTTGTTCATGCTTGGACCATGAAGCCACCATGGTACATCAGACCATTGTATCAACTACGGTAACTGACCTCATTTCATCTGGTGATCTCCCCCCAAACCCCACCCGACTGCCTCCAAGCTCCGCACACGTCACGTCTAGCTCCTTCTGAAAATCCACAAACAGGATTTCCCAGGCAGACCCATTGTTTCAGCCTGCTCATGCCCAACAGAACCCATCTCTTCCTACCTTGACTCAGTCTTTTCTCCTCTGCTCCAGTCCCTGCCCACGTACATCTATGATTCCTCTTTATGCTGGTTCCGGAATTTCCAGTTGGCAGGCTCCAGCTGCCTTCTCTTTATCATGGATGTGCAATCCTTTTACATGTCCATCCTCCACCAGAATGGTCTCAGGGCTCTCCATCCACCACCATCCTCCTCCGCTTGGCCGAGCTCGTCCTCACCCTTAACAACTTCTCTTTTAACGCCTCTCATTTTCTTCAGGTCAGAGGAATGGCCATGGGTACCCACATGGACCCCAGTTATGCCTGTCTCTTCGTGGGGTCCATGTGGAACATTCTTTGTTCTAGTCCTATTCCAGCTGCCACCCACAATTCTTTCTCTAGTATATCAATGATATCATCGGTGCTGCTTCCCTCTCTCATCTGGAATTGGGAAAGTTCATCAATTTCGCCTCCAATTTCCACCCTGCCCTCACTTTCACCTGGTCTATCTCTGACTCCTCCCTTCCCTTCCTCCTCATCTCTGTTTTCATTTCTGGGGATGGACTGGCCATTAATATCCACTATAAACCCACCGACTCCCACAGCTACTTGGACTATACATCCTCACACCCTACTTCCTGTAAAGACTCCATTCCATTCTCTCAGTTCCTCCGTCTCCATCACATATGTTCCGATGAGGCCAACTTCAACAAGGGAGCCTCTGAAATGTCCACCATCTCCCTCAGTGAGGATTCCCCAGCACCATTGTTGACAGGGCCCTCAACCGAGTCTGACCCATGTCCCACACTTCCACCCTCATGCCCTCTCTCCTTCCGGCAACAGTGATAGGGTTCCCCTTATCCTTACCTACCATCCCACCAGCATCCACACCTGGAAGATCGTCAGCTGCCATTTCTGCCACCTCCAGCGAGATGCCACCACCAGACACATATCCCCTCCAATCCCAAGTCTGCCTTCCGCACAGACCATTCCCTCCAGTACACCCTGGTCCATCCTTCCTTCAACACCAACAACCCCAAAGCCCCACGGCACCTCCCCTTGCAACCGCCAAAGGTGTAACACCTGCCCATTTACCTCCTCCATCCCCAATATCCAAGGGCCCAAACATACCTTCCAAGTGAAGCAGCACTTTACTTGCATTTCCCAGAATCTAGTCAACTGTATTCGCTGCTCACAATGTGGTCTCCTCTACATTGGGGAAACGAAGCGTAGACTGGGTGACCGCTTTGCAGAACATCTGCGTTCTGCTCGCAAAAAGGACCCTGAGCTTCCAGTTGCCTGCCACTTTAACGCACCACCCTGTTCCCTGGCCAACATCTTTGTCTCGTGCTTGCTGCAGTGTTCCAGCGAAGCTCAGCGCAAGCTGGAAGAACAACACCTCATTTTCCACTTGGGGACCCTGCAGCCCTCTGGACTCAACATCAAGTTCAATAATTTTAGGTCTTGACCTCTTCCATGTCCTAGCCGCCTCCCCCACATACCAGGCCTTGATATCACATAGCCTGCCAATACACACTACCTATTATTAGTCACTAACAGTCCCCATTAACAACTATTCACCCTCCCAGCCAGATTATTAGCAGCCAGATTATTAGCAACTCCTTTGTCTGTCCAACTGCTCTTCTCTCTCTTTGGGCACTAGCCCCACCTATCATTTACTCCCTACGCCCTCTACGCATACAAACTGACAGTTTCTTAGCTACCACCAGTTCTAAAGAAGGGTGATTGGACCTGAAGTGTTAACTCTGATTTCTCTGCAGGGGTTCACCTGTACATCCTCTAACTTGGTCTACTGCATCCATTGCTCCCGATGTGGCCTCCTTTACATCGGTGAGACCAAGTGCTGACTCGGGGGCCATTTGGTGGAGCATCTGTGCTCTCTATGCAATAATTGACAACACCTTTTGGTCGCTAACCATTTTAACTCCCCCTCCCACTCTCTTGATGACATGTCCATCCTGGGCCTCCTCTAGTGCCACACACAAGCTGGAGGAGCAGCATCTCATATCCCACCTCGGCAGCCCACAGTCCGATGGCCTGAACATAGAATACACCAGTTTTAAAATCGCCCCATTCCCGACCTCATCCCAAATTCAAACCTCCCTCTCGTCACCCCTCTCCTTGACCTGATACAACCTGTCCATCTTCTTCCCCACCTATCTGCCCCACCCTTCCAACTGACCAATCCCCACTACCCCCTACCTGCATCCCCCTATCACCACCCCACCTACCTTCCCCCAGCCCCACCCTTCCTTCCTTTGTTTATTTCCCAGCTCCCTTCCCCCTCCCCATTTCTGATGAATTGTCCCGACAGGAAACATGGACTCCCCTGCTCCTCTGATGCTGCCTGGTCTGCAGCGTTCCTCCAGCTCCACATCGTATTGACACTGAATCAGTCAATGACAGTTTAGGCAACATAACTAGCTTTTGTAGCCTCGGGAATGTAAGGAATGAATAAAGAGTCTTCTTGTGAACCTGGGAAATCCATGTAAATTGACAGGGCAATGACAGCTTAAGGTTCATGGTTGCATTGGAACATTATGAATAGGAGCAGAGCTCTCTAGACTTCGGGCCTTATATTAGATAATAACACATCTGCGACTTTTCTCTATGCAGCATCTATACTGTTAGCCAAAAAAAGTCTGTCTTGCAATTCCCACTTGTACCCTAACATCCATAGCCTTTTGAAGGAGCGAATGTCAGATTAAAGAAAAAAAACCTTGCATTTATATAGCTGCTTTAATGTTATAAAACATCCCAAGATGATTCAGATTTTGCCAGGAAGGAAGATATTGGGACAGGTGACCAAAGGCTTGGTCACAGTTTGGTTTTAAGCAGTGTCTCAAAGGAAGAGAGAGTCGCAAAGAGGTTTAGTTAAGAACGAGGGTCCGAGCTAGCTAGAGGAATGGCTACCGATGGTTGAACAATGCAAATCAGAATTGAAGGAATGCAGAGATATCAAAGTTGCAGTGATTCAGGAGGTTACAGAGATAGGGAAGGGGTGCAAGGTCTTGGAAAGATTTGAGACAGGCATTTGATAATCCCACCATGCTATAAAATTGAATTCAAAATATCTGGTAATCGGGGAGCTAACATCAGAACTTGACCTTACAAAGCTGCTGGAGTTATAACGTTTTAACAGGGTAGGAAATTGCCACCTGATTTTCTCTTAATTCCCTCTGAAGTGATTCAGCAATCTGCTTGTGCATGCTGTAAAGCAGAAGGTAGGGACTGTGCAAACTAATATTCTTCCCTTTCGTAACGTAGCAATCAGGTGTCATTTCCATTGCAGGTTACAAACAGCCAGTCTCAAAGGGGAAAGACAACTGTTCAATTTCCAATGCCTTTTTTAAAGAGAACTTATTAATAGTGTCAACTCTATGCAGTATTAAGCCTCAGGAAAGGACAGCTGATCCCAGCTGATCCCAGACACTGAGCATTTCATCCTTCACTTACCTAAGTAAGCAGATTGGCACTGATCCTAAATCGTAAACCACATCGTACTTATATAACTGTAAGTTTAGATAGTGAATGTCCAGGCAGGAGGGAAAAATAAAACCATCACTTCCTGTCCCCAGCAAATGTGTGAGATATGAAGTCACATGGCTGATTTCCCTTCCATTTCAGGGAAACCAAGGTTACTTGTAACAGTAGCAATCATCCTATGAGTCAGTTCATAGTTTCAAATGCCACTCTGGGGATTTGTAAGAAAATTCAGGACAGGAGTTCAGAGTCCAGTATGAGGAAGTGCCACACTTTTAGACATACTATCTATCAGACAATGTCAAACCAAGGCCCCAGCTGCCCTCTCAGGGATTTGTAAGAGATCCTGTGGCACTAATTTGAAGAACAGCGGGGCATTTTTATTCCTGGTGTCCCGATCAATATTTATCCTTCAACCATCAATAATAAAATTAATAAATGCCGCAGCTGGATTGAACCATATTCTGTGGATTTCATGTCCAGTAGTTATTCACTATACTATGATACCACGATAGAATTATAAATTTAGTGACTCTGTTTCACATACCATCTGAAAGCTAACCCATTTGACAGTGCAGAGCTCATTACTGGCAATGGGATTGTTTCTGGATTCTTGACTCTTTATGACTTTCTTGATGGAACACTATTCACTGATGCAATAAAATACAATATTCTTTTATTGTCACGTGTACTCCATTGTCGGAGTACAGTGAAAAGCTCTTACAATGTCTGCCTTCTTATGGTGACATCTTAGGTACAAGTACCTCGGTACAATTCTTGTAAACAGCAGAGGAACAGAAGTAGTTGCTTAATTACAGAGTTGAAAATAAGTTAAAAATAGGAAAATATTAAGGGGTTAATATTACAATGTTCTAAGGTATGTCCCCTCACACCCGTCCACGCCCAGGACTCGCTGCCTGTGCGCTGCTCTGAGGCTGCATCCCATGTGCTGATCTGGGGCTTCTTCCCTGTGCTGCTCCATGGCTCGCTGCTCGCGGTGTTCTGGGGCTCACAGGGCATGCCTGCAGGCCCCAGAGCACAAGACCAAATTGCCCATGCTGGCTGCACTGCAGGACTCGACTAGTGTTCGCTCCATTCTGCCACAGGACTTGGCCCGCTCGCTCTGTTCCACTGTGGGTCTTGGCCCGCTCGCTCCGTTCCACTGCGGGACTTGACCTGCTTGCTCCGTTCTGCCACAGGACTTGGCCCGCTCGCTCTGTCCCACTGTGGGTCTTGGCCCGCTCGCTCTGTTCCACTGTGGGTCTTGGCCCGCTCGTTCTGTTCCACTGTGGGTCTTGGCCTGCTCGCTCTGTTCCACTGTGGGTCTTGGCTCGCTCGCTCTGTTCCACTGCGGGACTCGGCCCGCTCGCTCCAATCCACCGTGGGACTTGACCCACTCGGTCCGCAACTGCTCTCTCCAGGGGGGTTGGGGAGAAAGGGAAAACCACAAAGAGGAGAGAAAAAAGAGGGAATAAAGGAAAAGGGACTGACAAGCAGAGGAGCTCCAACTGGAGGGAGTCCTAGTTGGCATCATAAATCGAAAGAAACATAGAGTCACAGAGATGTACAGCAGTGAAACTGACCCTTTGGTCTAACTCGTCCATGCTGACCAGATATCCTGAATTAATCTGGTCCCATTTGCCAGCATTTGGCCCATGTCCCTCTAAACCTTTCTTATTCATATATCCATCCAGATGCCTTTTAAATGTTGTCATTGTACCCAGCTCCAATGCCTCCTCTGGCAGCTCATTCCACACATGCATCACTCTCTGCGTGAAAAGGTTGCCCCTTAGATTCGTTTTAAATCTTTCCCCCCTCACCTTAAACCTATGCCCCTCTAGTTTTGGATTTCCCTACCCTGGGGAGAAAGACCTTGGCTATTTACCCTATCCATAAACCTCTAATAAGGTCAGCCCTCAGCATCCAACGCTCCAGGAAAAATAGCCCCAGCCTATTCAGTCTCGCCCTATAGCTCAAACCCTCCAACCCTGGCAAAATCCTGGTAAATCTTTTCATGATTTTATTGGTTTGAGGACAATTGAAAAATGCAGGAATCAGCTTGAGAATTCAATTCAGGGTTGGTTGCTGGGGTCACCCAGAGCTAATCAACAGATCCTGTCTGCTTAGTAGCACCTGCATTCTCCACCCTGCTCACCTCTTCTGAATTAGCTTTGACCTGAAATAGAGAGGAAGAGGTAGATGATTCACAGAGCACAATGTTGCATCGGCACAAATATTTGAACGTGTGGCAGTATTCAGCAAAATCCTATGGCATCCTTGTTCAATGTCCACATAGGAGTCGCAGTGTTTAGGAGTAGGTAATCCATTTTATGTCAAGAGTGAACAGCTCCACCACCCTCTCCTCCAGCAATGATCTGTGAAGTGTTACTGAGGTTGACCACTGGACTAATTTTCTTGAAAAAAAAATAAGACTTGCATTTATATGGAGCTTGTCATGATCACTGGAGATCTCAAAGTGCTTCACAGCTCATGAAATACTTTTGAAGTGTAGTCAGTTTTGAAATGTTGGAAACATGGCAGACATTTTGGACACTGCCAGGTCCCACCACCAGCAATGTGATAACTAAATTATTTGTTTCTCTTGCAGATATTTAATATTTGTAATGATTGTCTGTACTTTGATTGTAACAAACTGTGTCATAGTCCTAAATGTCTCCTTGAGGACACCGAACACCCACAGCATGTCTGAGAAGATCAAACAAGTAAGGGCATTTACAACAGTTTTTTTTACAGAATTATGAATGCGAGTTTTTATCTTTCTCTCCAAGTGTCAACTTTTTTTGCATGTTTTACTTTAAATGCCAATTCTCTTTATCCTCACAAGGGACTGGTGTCCAACATTTGGAGCTGTATTGCAATATACAGCCACATATTCCACTTTCTAATTATAGAGTCATAACAGCACGGAAATAGACCCTTTGGTCCAACTCATCCATGCTGACCAAGTTTCCCAAACTAAACTAGTCCCACCTGCCTGCATTTGCGCCATATCCCTCTATTCATGTACCTGTCCAAATGTCTTTTAGATGTTGCAACTGTACCTGCATCTACCACTTCCTCTGGTAGTTCATTCCACATATGGACTACCCTCTGTATGTAAAGGTTGCCCCTAGATAAAGATTTTTAAATCTTTATCCTCTCACCTTAAAAATATGCCCTCTAGTTTTGAACTCTCTTATCCTAGGGAAAAGACCCTTGCTATTCACCTTATCTATGGCCCTCATGATTTTATAAACCGTAGTGGGAGCAGGTGATGGCTCCCTCGTTCAATACTCTCCTTTCTAAGCGGAATTTCTGATTTACAGCCTGAACAAAATAACCAGGGCACATAGATTTGTTACAATACCACTGAACCTTACAGCACAAGAGGAAGCCATTTGATCCAACTTTGCAAAAAGCTGTCCAATTAGTCCCACAACCCCTAGTCTTAATGACTGTGAAAATCCCCTTCACATACCTATTCAATTCCTTTTTGGAAGATATTATTGAATCTGCTTCCATGGTCTTTAGCAGCTCACTGCATTTAAAAATTTTTGTTTGTCATTGATCTTCTTCGTGTTGACAATTTTACATGTGTCCTTTGATCATCGATCATCCTGCCTTTTTTTTAATCCATCATGATTTTGAAGACTGCAAATAAAATCCTTCCTTCCCTATACTAAAGAGAATGATCCCATCTTTTCCAGCTGCTCCACATAACTGCAATGCTGTAGCATTCTAGCATATCTTCTCTGCATCCTCTCTATGTTATTGACATGCTTCCTAATATGTGATAAGATGATTTTGACACAATTGGAGCCTAACCAATATTTCAATAACGTTTAGCATAGCTTGCTTGCCTTTATGCCTCTGTTTATAAACTCAGAAACCCATCTCTTTGGAAAGGATATTTTCAATTTGTCCTACCTCCTTAAAAGAGTTATGTACCACACATTCCCAGGGCATCGTTTCCCTGCAACTCCAGGTGGCTGTAGTCCATGTAACCATTCACTAGGATTCTCCTGGTGTGGTAGAGCCACACAAAGTCAGGGATGATCCCATATTTAATTAGCTGCTTTTTTAAAGAAAAACTCACCAATAAATCACCCACTTGATTCATTAAACTAATTACAATTTACAAACTCTGCCTAGCAGGGCATTTGGATAGCACTGCTGCCTCACAGAGACAGGACCTGGGTTCAATTCCACCCTCGGGTCACTGTCTGTGTGGAGTTCGCACATCCTCCCCGTGGGTTTCCTCCAGGTGCTCCGGTTTCCTCCCATAGTCCAAAGATGTGCAGATTATGTGGATTGGCCATGCTAAATTGCCCATAGTGCCAAGGAATGTGTAAATTAGGTGAGTTGGCCATGCTAAATTGCCCACAGTGCCAAGGAATGTGCAGGTTAGGTGGGTTGGCCATGCTAAATTGCCCACAGTGCCAAGGAATGCGCAGGTTAGGTGGGTTGGCCATGCTAAATTGCCCTGTGGTGTCCAAGGATGTGCAGGCTAGGTGAATTAGCTACACGAAATGTAGGGTAAATGGGATAGAATTGGTGGTGGGGTGTGGGTCTGGGTGGGGTGTTCTCCAGAGGGTTGTGCAGACTCTGACCGGCCTCGTTCTGCACTGTAGGGATCCTATGATTAAAAACAAAAACAAAAAAGATGAGGAAGGAACAGAGGAAAACTAAATCAAAATAGCATTGGAAGGGGAGATCATACACTCCACCTCCTGCGATACCAACCTCTCTCTAAAGGCTTTGAGGGTGCTGGTGGACACCATGTGCTCTCTCTCTCTCTCTCCAGGGGCGCAGAGGCATGAGCGTAGTTGCGGAAGAGAAGCAGCCAGTAGGGAATTTTGATCCCCTCCATGCCCCACTGCCTAGAACTGTTGATGGTTACTTTAGGCAGGATCAGGGGAAGGAATCGCCTAGCTTTTAAATTGGAGAGTGGGGCAGACTGTAAAATATAGTTCAGCTTCTCTTTCCTGATCACTAAGCAGTAACTGCATATGTGTTTCGATATATGGTGAATTCAGAAGGGAATGCGTCTAGCAGGATGTTTCGGCTTGTGAAAGCTGTTTGGGCATGAGTGTTGGAGTACTGGAGCAGTACCCCAAATAAGAGTCAAGCTGAGTGGAAAGAAGTAGATGGTAAAGGCTGTCTGGAAAAGCCTAAAGGTTTTCGGCTGCACTGACTCAGTCCACAGGGAGCTGCTTATGGTTACCAGGTGAACCTCACTGATTTACAGGCTTTACTTGCAGGTCTTCCTGGAGCTTCTGCCTCAGTATTTGGGCATGCACTTGGAGTCTCCTGAGGATTCCTTGGACACACACCAACCAAGGCGCAGGAGCTCCTTTGGGATTATGATAAAAGCGGAGGAATATATTCTCAAAAAACCACGGAGCGAACTGATGTTTGAAAGACAGCGAGATAGGCATGGACTGAAGAGAGTGAACAAGGCATCTGCAGGTTAGATGGTGATGCTGACGAGTCCTCTGTTTTTAGATTCTAAGGCTTTCAAGTTCTACAGGACATTTCATCATATTGAGTGATGTCAACGTAGAAGCATTTATTCACACAAAGGCGTAGTCAAAATCTGGATAATGCTCAACCGAAAATGCCACTAACATATGGACTAACTGAATGTTTCGAAATAATGAGTGATATATTTTGTTAGGTAAGAATGTAAAGGCTTTTGTAAGGAACAGATGAGTCATAATCTAACATTGTGGGAAAACAGGCTCAGCTGAATAGCTCCCACTTCCTCTTGTAAAACCACACAGTCACAAACAAAACTGCCCATTGATACATAAAACGGTGATATTAGATCAGAAATTGCTAGAAACTTAGCAGGTCTGGCAGAATATGTGGAGAGAAAGAAGAGTTAACATTTCAAGTCCAATGACCCTTGTTCTATTCTGACTTGAAACATTAACTATGCTTTCTTTCACAGATGCTGCCAGAATGATAGACTCCTACAGTGCAGAAAGAGGCTATTCAGCTCGCTGAGAATGCACTGACCCTCTGAAGAGCATCCCCAACCAATCCCTGTAACCCTGCACCATGTTTATTTTAAAGCATGGCTAACCCAGCTAACCTACACGTAATTGAACTGTGGGAAGAAAGCAGATCACCTGGAGGGAACCAAAGCAGACACAGGGAGGACATGCAAATACCACATGCAGTTGCCCAAGGCTGGAATCAAACCCAGGCCCCTGGTGCTGTGAGGCAGCAGTGCTAACCACTGTGCCACCATGTCTGCTTAGTTTCTCCAGCAATTTCTTCCTGTTTCAGGTCTTCAGCATCTGTTTTTCTTTGTTTATTTTAAGGTGTATTAGATCATTGTTTGTGACATCTATTTAAGGTCAGAGAGTCTTGGACAGTGTCTATTGTGAATAGTCCAATGTTAAATTATAGCACAGTTGAAGGCTCTAATTCCCGATCATAAATACTCAAGCTGTTTACTTTCCAGCAAGCAGTCAGACAGTTGTTTTCAGGCAGATGACTTCTGGCATCCACCACTGGTCACAACTGCACAAAGCAATCAGAAATCTATTGTGGGACAAATCTCACTCTGCACACACATCCCAGTCCTGTGGCATCTTATCTCTCCTCTCCAACTGCTTGCAAAGCAACAATGTAAACACAACTGACAGTGAGTTCCAGGACAGTCATTTGTTTTTAAAAGTGCAGTGATTTTTTTTCCATAGTCCTTGGTTTCAGACCATTCTTATCCCATTTTATCCATAATCAAAAATAAAGCACCAAATATGATCTTTACAGCCATTGGAGAGGGAGTTCCAAGAAATTGACCCAGCAAAAATGAGGAATTGTGATATTTTCCAAGTAAGAACAGTGATGGTGGGTTTGGAGGAGAACTTGCAGGTGGGTGATGTTCCCATGTATTTATTTCCCTTTATCCATCTAAATTGTATCAGTCATAAGTTAGAAGTTACTGTCTAAGGAACCTTAGTGAATTTTTTCAGTGTGTTTTGTAGATACTACACACTGCTGCTACTGAGCACTGGTGGTGGAGGTAGGGAAAATGAACATGGTGCTAGTCAAGCTAACTGTTTTGCCCTGGATGGTGTTGAGCTCCTTGTGTTTTGTTGGAGCTGCACTCGAGTGCAGTCAGTCAAGTGAGAAGTACTCTATCACAGTCCTCATTTGTATTTTGTAGATGATGAACAGGTTTAGGGAGTCAGCAGGTAAGTTACTCGTTGCAGGATTCCTGGCATCTGACTTGCTCTTGTAGCTATGGTATTTATATGTTGGTCCAGTTCAGTTCTGGTCAACGGTGAGTCCCAAGATGTTTATAGTGGGGGATTCAGCAATGGTAATGCCACTGAATATCAAGGGTTGATGGTTACATTCTCTCTTGTTGGAGATGGTGATTGCCTGGCATTTGTGTGGCACAAATGTTACTTGCCATTTGTCAGTCAAAGTCTGGATATCGTCAGGGACGTGATTTCTCAGATGCTGAAGTGGTTGCGAAAGGTGCTGAATGTTGCGCAGTCATCAATGAACATTTCTGACCTCATGATGGAGGGAATGTCATTGATGAAGCAGCTGTTTGGGCCTATGGCTCTAAGCGACTCCTGCAGAGATGGATTACTTGCTTACTGGCATGGCTATTCCAGAATCCCAATACAGTCCTTTGCTTTCTGCAGTGGAAGAGTAAAACTGGGCTAAATGCCTCTAGTCACAAAGAACAACAACTCTTCGCAGAGTCATGAGTAAAGGATGCTGGAAGTGGCATCCTGGTCATAAAATGGCTACATTTGCGCTGCAGAGGGGCAACAGCCTATATTCTTGTGACTTAGTCAGAGGGAAACCTATTTAATTACATGATTGAAGGGTGACTGCAGTAGGGCAAAATAATTGAGAAAAATGAGTGAAATTACCTAAACTTCCATTTAGAACTTTCAACCCAGTTAGATATCCCAAGGCATTTCCCAGGAATGTAGCAAGGCAAAAATGGAGTGGAACCAAAGAAAATAATATTGGGCTGAATTTTGCATTATTTTGGCTAAGTGTGAGTTGTGCTGATTCTTTTTGGAAAGATTCTCGTCGTGAAACCCAGCGAGAATTCTTACTGTATCTTACCATGTGTGCCTCATTAACCCTACCCTTATGTCCGATTCTAGCTCATCTTAACTCATGCCGTTCCTGGAATAATTGGAAAAGTCACTCAAATCTAGGGCAATTCTGGATGGGCAGCAATTGCTGAGCTTGCCAGCACTGGCTATCTACCATAGTAGAATAAAGAAACTGTGGATTTTAAAATGTCCATTTGTGGCACCCCAAGTATACACCTAGGGAATACCCTGTAGAAGCTGGTACATTCCTAGACATCTCATACATGTAAAGACACTATGAGGGTCCCACTGTGAGTGTTAACACATTGCCAGGGATGTGTTGCGATTATTATCACACTCCTGAAATTACCAATGCTTCCCATGAGCATCTCCTGAAACTATCAGTATGTTCTCAAAGTAAATGCTGCAAATTCTGAAACACTCTTGAAGATTCTCTATCTTGTTCTCCAAAAGATAATATTATCTAACTAAAGGGAAGTAATATTATTGCAGAAGACAATTTCCATTTGTGTAGGGAAAGGAGAGTAACACCAATGCAGTAATCTAATGAGGTCTACTCTGAAATTGGTCCTCCTGGTGGTGGCGGGGGGGGCATGCTGGGATTCCTTATGTTCTGGGCATCCTATCTTGGAAACTTCTAAAATAAGCCAAGCTAACTCAGCACAAATAGTCCATTAATTAAAGCAAATCATGTATTATTGGTTGCAATCTAATGTCTAGCAAGAGGTGAATGACCACATGGAAAAGTGCCAAAATGACAGAACTTTAGGAAATTTCTCCTTGTTCTCAAGCATAATCAAGATACCAATCTTTTAGCAGTTTTGCGTCAATTGCTACACATGCTTGTCGGTAAATATTGTTTGTATCACTTATTAGAAGCTTTCTCAGCAGTTTCATGATGTGGTTTGGAGTTATACAAACTGCAAAGCTTCAGCTGCTGGTCTGCATTGAGTTAGTTGCTAGTTTCAGCTATGGTTCAGTGCTTTCCTCGCTTCAGGAAATTGTATGTCAAGTCCCATTCTATGCTAACATTTTAGTGTGATGCTGAAACAGTGCTGCGCTGCTGGAGTCTGCCTTTCGACTCCTCTGTTCACTCAGGCAGACCACTATTGTAACTCATGAGATATGAAACATCCAAAGGGAATATTTTTCAGGTATGCAGGTGAGTTTTATCCAGTGTATATTAATCCCTCAAACATAAATCCATTAAATCCCTTGATCACCAAAACATTGTCACATCGCTGTTTGAGAGGAGCTTACTGTGCATGATATGGTTTCAGTCATCGCATGTAATCCTGCAATGTATGCGAGTGACAGCATGACTGTGAATGCAAGCACATACACATCAGGAGAGGACATGATTCAATGAGACTCTTCCAAAAATGCCACAACCCAATGTTGAACTCTGTCTGCAGCTCTTCAACATTGACTGAAAAATCTGATGAGCCTCTACGCTGTATGTTTTCCAGGTGTCATCTGGAGCAGGTGGGGCAACTCTCTACTCCATTTCTTGCAAGTCATTCACCCAGAATTTGCTAGAGTGGGCCTCTCTTAGCATAGCTTCTTAGCTCAAATTCATCTTTTGCATGCAAGCTCAAAATCATTATGTGTCTCTAATTACTGTAAATTAATAATTTTGAGCAAATTACTGAACCATTCTTGTTAATAATGTTGCACGTTAAGGGGTCGGAGGTGGGGGCGGGGAGATTAAGAAGGGAAAGAAATGATTTTTAACCTGTAATTTTAAATAAATAATAATTCTTGTATTTCCATATCACTCAGGTTCAGACATTGATATTGGAACCACAGTTGACCTGTACAGAAACCTGGCTCACTTTGCCCCAGAGATAAAAACCTGTGTTGATGCCTGTAACTTTATTGCCAAAAGCACAAAAGAACTGAATGATTTTGGATCTGTGAGTAAATGCAAGGATATTAATGGTTATAAGTTTGTAACTGTAGGTTTCTAGAGACCTAAATACACAATCTAAGCTAACACTCCCAGTGCATTTACTTGGGGATGCTGCACTGTCAGATGTGCCATCTTTCAGGTGAGCTGTTAAACTATTGAAATTCCTCCCTAAACTCCACCTCTCTGCTTCTTCCTTTATCCTTTAAGATTTTACTTAAGATTTATCTCTGACCTTTCTTAATATCTCCTTGTGCGGTTTGGTTTCAAATGAATAAAGTATCCATGCAGCACACTAGGACATCTTAGTACAGAAGATGCTTCATAAATGCAAATTATTGTTGTTGCTGTAATTCAGTCTTACGATGAATTTCTACATACTAGTCTGTTGCCTGAAATGTGATTTGACCTTGAAACCTGCACATACTTCCAGATCTGACATTGGTAAGTGAGGTTTTTTTTTATTCACTTATGGATTGTGGGCATCACTGACTTGGCCAGTGTTTATTGCCCAGCCCTAGTTGCTCTTGAGAAGGTGGTTGTGAGCTACCTTCTTGTACCATTTCAGTCCAGACTCACAATGCCATTAGAGAGGGAGTTCCAAGATTTTGACACAGCGACACTGAAGGAACAGTGATAAACTTCCATGTCCAATATGGTGGATGGCTTGGAGGAGAACTTAGATGGTCTGGCTGCCATGGTGTAATGGTGAGCGCGCTGATTTCTGAACCCTGTGATCCGAGTTCAAATCTAGGTGTAGCCTTCTTTCTGGGGTGGCACGGTGGCTCAGTGGTTAGCACTGCTGCCTCACAGCGCCAGGGACCCAGGTTCGATTCCACCCTCGGGCGACTCTTTGTGGAGTTTGCACATTCTCCCTGTGTCTGCGAGGGTTTCCTCCGGGTGCTCCAGTTTCCTCCCACAGTCAAAAGATGTGCATGCTAGGTGGATTGGCCATGCTAAATTGCCCATAGTGTTCAGGGATGTGTAGATGGGGTGGGCCTGGGTGGGATGCTTTGAGGTTCGGCATGGACTGGTTGGGCTGAAGGGCCCGTTTCCACACTGTAGGGATTCTATATTCTATGTGGTTGTGGGGTTTGAAGATGCCTTGGTGAGTTTCTGCAGTGCATCTCGTTGACAGTACACACTGCTGCTACTGAGCATTGGGCGTGGAGGTTGTGGATGTGGACTTATATTGCCAGTGCAGTTCAGCTTCTGGTCAATGGTGACCTCCAGTTTGTGGATAGTAGGGGATTCAGTAATGAATGGTTAATAATCAGTTATGATGGTAATGCTATTGAATGTCAAGGGATCACAGTTAAATTCTCTGCTTCAGGTGGCGATTGCCTGGCACATGCCATTTATCAGTCCTGTTATCTGTTCTTCTAAGGTCAAAAAAACTTACACTTAGATAGTACCTTCCACAACCTGTCCCAAAGTGTTTCACATCCAATTAAATACTTTTAAAGCGGTTATGATGTAGAAGAATAGGAACATAATATAGGTTGAAATCCTGCTGCCAAAGTGTCTGTTTAACGATACAAAGATAGAAATTATTTTTAAGCAAGCATTGAATGAGTTCAAAAACAGGTCAATAAAATACCAGAAGACTTTGTGGAATCAGTATTTTCAGGTTCTGGACAGAGTAGCTGTAAATTTTGAATGATGGTGTTTGTACATTTCCATTTACCACACTATGTATGTGTCAGTAGTCTGTAACAGACACTATTTGATACCTGAAAAGCAAGCGCCATCCCTTAATGTTTCAAGTGAGGGATGTCTGTTTTTCATTTAAGTAGATCAATGTATTAGTGTTTAGAGAGCTGGATTCAGCTGAATTTAAGGCCCAGAACAGCTGAAATTACAACAACAAAATCTTTGTTCTGTTCTTTCAGGAGAATGAAAACTGGATTCTGATTGGAAAGGTTATCGACAAGGCTTGTTTCTGGATTGCACTTCTCCTCTTTAGCATTGGCACTGTGACAATCTTCCTCACAGGGCACTTCAACCAAGCACCAGAATTCCCGTTTCCTGGAGATCCGAGGAAATACAAACCAGATTAATGTGCACCCCACTTTGAATCCATTTCCTTCCTAATTCTAATTGGGAACCTCAAACATTTTTGATCTGTTTTACTTTTAATCTTTTAAAATAAAGCAATACTCATACATACGTTCAGAAGTGGCAAGCCTCAATGCAAAGTTGCGAGGACCTAAATAAGCACCATGATGTCTCCAATTATTGTGAACATAATATTAAGATTTTTTTAATGCCAGTATTATTAAGATCCCCGGATTGCATTGTACTGCATAGTTTTTTTTCAGAAGTCAAAATGCATGAGTTTTCTTTAAAGATAAGCCATCTTATTTGTAATAAAGGCTTTAACAACCACCTGTTCATTTATTTACCTGATTATATTCAAAAGTAACAACAAACAAGGGTAGGGCTGATACAATTAATGGTAGGGCCTTGGTAGTGTTGTAGAACAGAGGGACCCAGGGGTGCAGGTACAAAATTCTTTGAAGTTTGCGTCACACATAGATAGGGTGATTAAAAAAGTCTGTGCTACACCCATTCCCATGTCAAATATCCTTTTTAAGGTGCATTTCTCTATAGTTGACAGCAACCTCCAGATGTGATCTAACCTTGGTTTTGTTTATTCATAGTGAACGCCATTTCATCACCAATGCCTTTACATAAAAGGTAACATTCCAATGGTTTCTGATTTTTGTACCTTTACATCTTGTTGATTTGTGTATACAAACCTATAAGTTTCTTTGTCCCTTGTTACTAGCTCTTCCCCATTTAAACAATACTCTGATCATTCACGTGCATTGAAATCCATCTGCCATTAAATTAAAGGTTATGATGCAATTTTTAATTCAGACTCAGAAACATTACTGTATTTGATCAGTAGTTTACAAAAATTAGTTGAGAATTAAATAACCTGTTGTTGTCCTTTAGGTAGAAGATGTAACCCATTCTCCAATCATGCTGCTAACATATTCATCCAGCCATATCAGTTATCTCAAAGCAGAGTTCTGTGGTCAGACAAAACCCTTGGGTATTCCTTACCTGCTTTTCATCTTTAGCAAAAGGCTTTAATGTGCTTATTTTTGGTTCTCTGTTTGATAACTCAACCCAGAGTATGAAGGATGGATTTCTGACTGCAAATAAAAAGGCAAAATACTTTCTCCAATTTTAACAGAAGAGAAACAATATTAATAAACATGTAGACTGGAAATTTTAATATTAATTGCAATCTAACAAAGTTTGATGCTGAAAAATGGTAAAATGGAATCACCTTTGATCATATTTCAACAACTCACACATTACCACACAGAGAAAAACGGCTGAATTTTAACAAAAATCAGCTAAGAGTCAACTTTTCTGAGTTCTGTGGAGGGTTTCTCACGGTGAGATTTCAAAATGCTATTCTCCAAAACTTCCCTCTCTACTTTGCACCACGCATTCACGCCACCCCACTTGTCCTATCTTCTCCCTTGTCAGAAGTAGAAGTACTTGCTATTGCTGGGACCTCCTTATATCCTAGTACTGGTGCCACTTTTAATGTCCAGTTAGGCACCAGAACAAGTGCTGGCATTGCAAGTTGCTCTTCACCATGCCTATGATGGGAGGGGTTCCAAAAACGAATGATTCTCAAAGGACATAGGCTGACATTTCATTGCAAAAGGAAGTTCACATTAGTAAAGGTATTACTATTTAAGAAACAAGCTACACAGGTTACCCATCCTTAGTATAACTCCATTCTAAAAGCTTGTCTAAAAGAGTGATTTCTGAAGAAGGGTCCAGACCCAAAACGTCAGCCTTCCTGCTCCTCTGATGCTGCTTGGCCTGCTGTGTTCATCCAGCTCTACACCTTGTTGTCTCCTCTCCACCTATCTTCTCCTCTATCCATCTTCTATCCGTCTCCCACTCTCTCCCTATTTATTTCAGAACCCTCTTCCCCTCCCCCATTTTCTGAAGAAGGGTCTAGGCCCGAAACGTCAGCCTTCCTGCTCCTATGATGCTGCTTGGCCTGCTGTGTTCATCCAGCCCTGCACCTTGTTATCTCAGATACTCCAGCATCGGCAGTTCCTACTATCTCTCTAAAAAAGAGTGCTATTTTTTCCAGAAATACTGGTGAATTCTAACATTTTCTTATTGTTCAGTGCGGGAGCATAACATAATGGAAAGCCTTTCAAATGGTTGAAAACGCCCACTTACTTTCAACAACAGCAAAACCAAAGAAAAAAAACAGAAACTGTTTTGGCCTCTGGCAATGGACAAGGACCTGCTCGAGTTTCTAGCAACAATAAATTTAGTCAATGAGTGATCATGGCACCCAGTGCACATTAACTGTAACCAGGGGTCAATTCAGTCTTAACATTTCGGGTCCAGAGACTCTTCAAGAATCACTGGACCTGAAATGTTAACTCTACTTTCTCTCCAAAAATGTTGCCAGACCTGCTGAGTTTTTCCAGCAATTTCTGCTTTTGTTTCTGATTTCCAACATTTGGAGTTCTTTATTATTTTTTGTCAATTAAGTCTTGTCTACCTTGTTGTGGTCAATGATGCAGCACTCTAGCATGCTCAATAACTTCTTCTTCTTTCTTGGAACACTGCTGTTGCTCTCTCAGCTCTTCAGCATCCATCACATCCCCTCGTTGCCTGCTCCAATTGTGCAGAGCACAGCATGTTACAGCTATGTGGCTCGGTGTATGTGGGGTGTACTGCAACGCCCCAAGATCTTCCAAGCAATAGAACTTCATTATTGGGTTACAAGTTTGGAATGATTGGTGAAACCTTGTCTACCAACTGCAAATGACCCAAGAAAGGCAGCAGTGCATTGCCTTCACATTATTCACAAGTACAGCCCACGTGTTCAGACAGAAAAAATTACTCCACCTACTCTAGTCACAGTTGTTTTCCATTTCCAGTTCTCAGTTATGTCTCGCATGAGCATGGAAGGCAACGCAGATTGTGCCTGGCAGTGACTCACAGATTCAGGCTGGTAGTTTGAGAGTTCTCCAATCCTCCACGTTCCTTTCTTCTTTGCAATACAGTACCAGTTGAACCCATTAATTCTGAGCTTCCAAGTGCTCCCACTCACATTTCCTGAATTATAACTTCATTATAACTTAATTATAATATTACGCCTGAGCACCCCACCCCCCACCCCTTCATTGCACTATCTCCTGTTAAAGCTGGGGTGGTTGTGACCGCTGATAACCCATCTCATCCAATCCATAATCATCTCCTTCCCCTCCCCTCCCCATATATTGAGTTATCCCCTTCACAATTACTGTCCCCTCTGCATCTCAACCTGGTGCCTCCAATCCCCCAAACTGACTTCACCAACCTCCCTACCAGGGCAATGCCTCTCGACTTTTTGGATGGACAGCTCCAACTGGTCTGTTACAGGAGCCCTGACTGATCTGTGTGCAGCTCCCTAACTGACTTACCATTACTCCCCAGACAGGTTGCACTAGCCGTGACCCATTCCCAGGTCTGTAGTACATGGACTATCCCACCCTGAAAACCCTGAGTGGTCTTCCACTTGTCTATGCTTTTGACCCTGGAAAAAATATCAGATGCAGCCCTTACTATGTCGGGACTCTCTGACCAAAGGCTGTCTCCCTTTACCTTACTGAAGACTACTACCCTTACACTTTCAGACATGGCTTTTGGCTGAAATTCAGTGCATTTGTTAAGTAGCTGCTGGCATATGCTGCAGGTGTGATATTGATATAGCATGGTACCATACTGGAACATGATCACCCTTGATTGATTATTGCTGACAACCACGACACACTATCTGGCATGGTCTGCATTAGAAAGCAAGAGAGAAGTACGGTGAGTATTTAAGTTTGGCTGTGGATGCAAAGTGCATAAGGCCAAAACAAGACAAGGCAGCTATGTTGTGAGCATTGAAGCAGGTGCAAAGCAAGTAAACACTAAGAGGTCCAGGGAGGAGCCCTGAGATGAACTCTGATTCAATACATGACTTGGGTGCCTGGAATTGCACGCAACGCATCCTGGGTAACAGTATTACAATGATAGGTGCTATTGAGCTCCAAAGTGCAGAACTGTATTGTACATGAGCCAAAACAAGTGCATTAGATTGTGGAGTGGTTGGTAAGTGGCTGATGCCAAATTCTGTGGATTAGGTGGTGTGTGTGTGTGTCTGGTCTGCACAGTACCTGTCCTGAGATGTTGGTGACTGCTGTTCAAGATGGAGGCCCAGTTCTTTGAAAGTGGAGTTGCAGGTAGATAGAACAGTGAAGAAGGTATTTGGTACGCTTGCTTTTATTGGTCAGTGCATTGAGTATAGGAGTTGGGAGGTCATGTTAAGGCCATATAGGACATTGGTTAGGCCATTTATGGAATACTGTGCACAATTCTGGTCTCCCTGCTACAGGAAAAATGTTGTGAAACTTGAAAGGGTTCAGTAAAGATTTACAAGGTTGTACCAAGGGCTGGAGGGTTTCAGCTATGGGAAAGGCTGAATAGGCTGGGGCTATTTTCTCTAGAGTGTCGGAGGTTGAGGGATGACCTCATAGAGGTTTATAAAATCATGAGGGGCAGGGGAGTCAAAAACTACAGGGCATCAGTTTAAGGTGAGAGGGACCTAAGTGGCAACCTTTTAATGCAGAGGGTGGTGTGTGTATGAAATGAGCTGCCAGAAGAAGCTGGTACAATTACAACATTTAAAAGACATCTGGATGGATATATGAATTGGAATAGTTTGGAGGAACATGGGCCAAAAGCTGGCAAATGGGACTAGATTTATCTAGGATATTTGGTTGGCATGGATGAGTTGGACTAAGAGTCTGTTTTCGTGCTGTACATCTCCATGATTCGATGACTCTAAAAGCAAGCAGTGAGCAGGAGTCACCAGGTACCCACTTCAATTTTCATGTTGGGATCTCTCTCTGTCTAGGTTCCATCCAGGCTCGGATTGAAATCTGCAGTTTAGGGACTAACACATGCAAATAGGCCTCTCGTCGCTCAGTAGTGAGATTAGAAAAATAAAACTTAATTCTTGCAATCCCTAAATCCTGGGAGTACTGCCATGGGCTCATTTTCTTTTGTATTATCTATTGTGTTTCATGGGTCATTAATAAATATATTCAACAGTTGA